ATGTCTATCTCAACAATAAACCCAGGAGGCCAACAAAAAGTCTGTGACACAAAGTTTGGGATAGGTTTAATACTGGAAAAGGATGTAACATCAATTTGTGTTCGGAAAGTTAAATAGATGTAGACAGTCTTAATATCAGGCATCACTAAAAAAAAAACATGGGTGTTTACGTACAGCATGTTCTCAACTTTGCTAAGCAGAGTTCAGATGTTTTTGTCTTGTTCACTAAATGGCTGGCTATATATGGAGTGTACATCTGTTTCCAGCCTATTAGGAAATGCAACTTATTGATACTACTAAAACTGGTAGACTGTAAACCTCATCCACATTGTCTTCAAAACTCTTGGGTTTTAGTTATGTTAAATAATATTCAAGCACTTTGAATCAGAGTTATTTTTTAAAATAACTTATTACGTTCTGAGCGAAACGTATTGAAAGAAGTGAAGAATGGTGTATTGTGTTTGACCGAATGGGCATTGTGATCTGATTGTATTGTAGCAGTAGGTCATAAAATCAAGAGTTCAATTCTATTGTTGAAAGTGTTGTCCCTATCAACAGCTAAACATACAGGGACAGTGATGTGCTATGACAGGGTTGTGTGTTGATAGCTTGTTACAGTGATACATCACGACAGGGTTGTTTGTTGTTTGCTTGTTACAGTAATACATCATGACAGGGTTGTTTGTTGTTTGCTTGTTACATTAATACATCATGACAGAGTTGTTTGTTGGTAGCTTGTTACAGTGATACATCACGACAGAGTTGTTTGTTGGTAGCTTGTTACAGTGATACATCACCACAGAGTTGTTTGTTGGTAGCATGTTACAGTGATACATGACGACAGAGTTGTTTGTTGGTAGCTTGTTACAGTGAAACATCATGACAGAGTTGTTTGTTGGTAGCTTGTTACAGTAATACATCATGACAGAGTTGTTTGTTGGTAGCTTGTTACAGTGATACATCACGACAGAGTTGTTTGTTGGTAGCATGTTACAGTGATACATCACGACAGGGTTGTTTGTTGGTAGCATGTTACAGTGATACATGACGACAGAGTTGTTTGTTGGTAGCATGTTACAGTGATACATGACGACAGAGTTGTTTGTTGGTAGCTTGTTACAGTGATACATCATGACAGGGTTGTTTGTTGGTAGCTTGTTACAGTGATACATGACGACAGGGTTGTTTGTTGTTTGCTTGTTATAGCAACATATCATGAGAGGGTAAATGTGTGTTGTTTGCATGTAATAGCTAGACATGTTCTTATATTGTCACAAAATGTAGATGAATATATCGAAAATGATATGATGGAAATCAGGGGCATGAGAAAATCTATAGCCTGAAGTTTGGAGGGTGTCCTATTAAAGTACCAGAATGTGTCTGCCCACTTTGGGGCATAACACCTACCTGTGTCGAGGACATAACACCTACCTGTGTCGAGGACATAGCACCTACCTGTGTCGAGGACATACCTACCTGTGTCGAGGACAAAACACCTACCTGTGTCGAGGACATAATACCTACCTGTGTGGAAGACATAACACCTACCTGTGTCGAGGACAAAACACCTACCTGTGTCGAGGACAAAACACCTACCTGTGTCGAGGACATAATACCTACCTGTGTGGAAGACATAACACCTACCTGTGTGGAAGACATACCTACCTGTGTTGGGGACAAAACACCTACCTGTGTCGAGGACATAACACCTACCTGTGTCAGAAGTATAACACCTACCTGTGTCAGAAGTATAACACCTACCTGTGTCGAGGACGTAACACCTACCTGTGTCAGAAGTATAACACCTACCTGTGTCAGAAGTATAACACCTACCTGTGTCGAGGACATAACACCTACCTTTAATACCTGTATGATTGGTTTTCATTTATTTGACAGGTTTTTACTAAAACCTTTGTTTATCATCGCTTTACAAAAAGTGGCACACATATTGTCGGGCCCTAAGATATCACACAATGTACTCTATTATGTTAAGATATTCAACTTTTAACTTCCCATTCATTAATCTTGAATTTTGATTTATTGTTGTCATCCTACAAAAGTAATTTAAAATCACTCTTATTATTTTGAATTCCGTTACTCCATTTATTCTGGTATAATGTCTATGTTTACTTAGACTCTGAAGAGTTTACATATCTACCTCATTTTCCTACACTACCTGTATGTGTAAATGTTATTTTCATATCAAACTTTCACAAAGTGTTGAAACTGGCTTAATACCACATCTATGAGTCCATCAACTGAGTTTTGACATCAGTGGTGTGCTTGAGGATCATTATTCTACTATTTTGTCACCTTGGTTATGCTGGTCACACTCAGCAAATTATTTCATGGAAAGATTATTTGCAAAATTTAGAAATAAGTCTTGAAGCTTATATTTATCATTCTTGATTGCCTAGAAGCAGGAGTTTAAAGGGTTTTTTTGGGGGGAAACTTTGGTACCCAGAGAAAATCGGGTTGATCTTAGGTGGGTTACCTCATGCTATATCATGGCTAGTCAGTGAGTCAAATCATTACGTTTATCTAAGGAAAAGAATCGATCCCTTGGGCACATTGTTATGTGTATCCAAGGAAAGAGTCAAACCCTCAGGTACATTGTTGTGTGTATCCAGGGAAAGAGTCAAACCCTCAGGTACATTGTTGTATACATCCAAGGAAAAGAGACAAACCATTCACAGCACAAAGGTAACAACAGACAAATGTGTATCTAAGGAAAAGAATAGATATTTAGTATGCACAAGATCACTACATAAAAATCAAAGATTAAAATCATCTATCTAAACGGCCAACGTTTTGGTGCCCGAGTGTTAATTGTATCAGAACAGTCTGTGAACTTGATGATATACACACAAATTATCTGGTTTACGGAAGTTCGATCAGGTTTCATTCGGGTTTTGAAACCGTTTAAATTGTATTCAGTATTCATTGCTATCTGATCACCTAGCTTGTATTACACATCAAAGCCATAGTCACTTTTTGATGGATATATATGTTCATTTCCATACCATGTAAAGCCTTGTGTTTTTGACACATTGAATATAACTGCCTGGTTATTTCTTAAGCTTTCCAGTAACATTGATATGACATTTGAAACAGGTTTGGGAAGTCTTGATCTTATATACAAAATGAGATTGTATCTATTCTTCATGTTTCTAATATATTTGTGACAAGTAATTTTCCTGCTCAAAGGTTATCAGGATTGAACTACAAAAACCCAGTACTGGAACATGTTGAGCTGACCTAGACAGGAATTAAAACTTGTGTGCTGTATATATGTACATTTCAACTAAGTAATCCATGACTGGGCACTGAAATCTGACAAATACATGGGCACAACTTCTGATACCTTTGTTAAGTATTAATCAGGGTTAATTAAAGGTAATGAATATATCCAGGTAATTATCTCAGGTTTTGACAGTCAATCTGCCAAGACTACGCGTTATCACCACTGTCTGTAAGGAGTTAATTCATAAATAGATAATCCATAGCTAATTTATCCTTTTCAACAGTATCATTTAAGAGTCAAATATTGTGACTTTTCAGTAAAAAGAATGAGTCGATAAACATTGCAACACATTTCTTGAAGTTTGATCAAATCAGAGTTTTATCAAGACAGGTAAAGTCCGGCATCGTTGAGACAAATAACCTTGTACACTGGTATATTTATATATAAATGAATCAGTAACCTTATAAAATAGTATATATAGATGAGTTTGTAACCTTGTATACTGGTATATATATAGACGAGTTTGTAACCTTGTATACTTGTGCATATATGAAAGATTTAGCAAACTAAATGTATACTGGTATATGTATGTAAATGAGCCAATAACCTTGTACACTGGTATAGTACCAGCAAATGTATAGAAATTCAAGATTCATATTCATGCAATTCATATTTACTTCAAACAATTTCTTCCAAAATCTCTTAGTTAATACTTTGTATTTTAAAAGATGTAATCTCATTGTTGTTAAGATTATACTGCCTGCTTTCATTTTTAGGACAAATTATTTACACATGACCTGTAATTGTACAACTTTATGACCTAGATATGCCTAACAGAGATCTAGATAGGCCCACATGTCAGATTGTGTCCTCGACCATTTACAGATCATGTTAAGCTACTGACCTATCGGTCAAGATCACCTTCCTTTACAATGAATAATGTTTTCTGTATCTCATTGATGCCGATAATTGTAAGATTACTACTTGTACCTAAGGAATTTCTTATTATGATACAAATTTCAAGGACTTTGATTACTTACAAAATTTAATAATTTTCCTACATCAGTTTGATAGATCAGATCTTACACAGACATGGTATAATCTTTGCTTTATCTAATAGTTAGATATCAGGATTATCTTAAATATACTTTAAGATCCAAATGGGATATTTCATTGTGATAATGTCAAACTGCAAGTCTACCCTGCTGCCCTTTATCGGTGTAATTGTCATTAATCTCAGGTCATGGAGATTAAAATTACCTGGTTTTAAACAAAACTTGCCTTGTGAGAACACCTTCCAACCCATTTGGAACAATGACGTCTTTAAAGAGATTTATAAAACTTTTAATCGCTCATTTCAGCAAGGTTGTTAGCACTTGAAGAAATGGCTGTTGAGGGTCTTGCCGGCCTTTGCAGTAACTGCATTGAGATAATCTGTTCTTTGTGTTTAAAATATTAGCAACACCAAAGGATCACCTCGTGGTTAAGGTTTGAGAACATATCAGGTTTACCTGTATAGAAAAGATTTCTACCCCAATACCCTGCCAGCTAATGAGCCTGGATTAACTGGTATTGTAAATTGTATTGAACAGTTTAAGCTATTCCAACCGTTAATGAACAAGTGAGTTGAAGGAGCAAAAACCAGTAAATCTGATCAGCCTAACAGTTTGTCAATGGTTACGGACCTCACCTGATTTGTATACAAATAAATGTTTAGCAGGATCTCACTTAACTTGTTGACAAATATGTCTCCCAGATGGGGCAGCGATCATCCAAAGTTCGTAACAAGAAATCTGGAGGTGCTCTCTTTACAAAAAAGAGAGAGCCCTCGTTTCTTCACAGCACAGACAGAGTTGTCATTGAGGACACCATTATTGAATTGGATGGAGAGAAGAATATAGAAGCAGACAAAAGTTGTGTTGATCGAAGCAGTTTGTTTTGTGTTGATAGTCCAGCCAAAGACGTAAATAAAACACAGACCTCTACGTTTAATGTAGAAATAGAAGAATTGGACACAGAAACAGTTATAGAGGCTGTAAGTTTAGCAAATGATGTTGAAAGGTCATTTGGAGAAGAGGTCAAATCCACTGAGCCAAAAGTTCAAGTTGAGGGTAAGTGGCACACAGAAAGTGGACCAATTAATCCTGGGAATAACATAGTCAAAAACGAGGGTAGTGTTGGCGAAACACAACCAAATACTGATGATGCCAAAAAAGATTCACAATGGAAAGAAGCTGATTGTGAAGATGAAGAATCTAACTTTACTGGTGTAGTGAAAAGGAGATTTACATTAGAGGAAGACGATGCCAATGATAATGGAGTCCAGTGGGTGCCTTTCATCAAAACCCATACAGAGGTGAGCTGTAAAGAAACTGAGAAGAAACATGTCCACTTCAATGAAGTCATAGAGGAAAAGTTGTTGGAGAAAGTTTCAGATGAGGAAGAAAGTGACTGTAATTCTGAGGAGGAAAATGTTTCTACTGATAGTTCACTAGGTGAGATTGAAGAGGAAGAAAATGATGACAGTGAAAGTGATGGAGAAAGGGAATCTTCAGATGAAAGTACGGATGAATCGAGTGATGATACAAAAGAAGAAAATCAATATGGTCTTGAAACCACAGGTAGACCATCAAAATCCCCAGTGGAAAAACTGCAGGTAAAGTCTGGGAAAGAGTCCAAGTCACCACCTGCTAGTAAAAACAACAGTGTAGTTTCAGCCAAGTCTCCAGATAGTAATAAAATACCATCAGATGACTTGGAAACATTCATGTATTTACAGCCGTGTGACGAAGTGATGGTAGTGGAGAAAAACATGAAGAATTTTTCAATAAGGAATGACAAAATTTACATAACTTGTATCAAGCCTGCCATTGTCAATGAAACTTCACCTAGACCAGAAAGTCTTACCAAACTGTATAAAAATGGATTCTCTCCAATACAAAGTCCCTGTGTAGGATCCAATGGAGATATTTCAGCTAAAAGTCCTCGATCATTAAAAAACAGCTATTCTCCATCAAGAAGTCCTGGATCTGTAGCCAATGGAAATTCTCTGACAGGAACTCTTCCGTCTGTTATTAAGGGAGCATCTCCAGGTACAGGTAGTGTCAACAAATCTTCTGTCATTGGACCCTCTCCAACACTTGGTGCACTTGAACTTAAAATTGATGATAAGCATCTTCAAGAAATAGATAATAAAATAAGAAATGATAATTTTCTAGAACCAGGTGAGTCAGCTGCATATTTGAAGGTCAAACTTGGTGGTGGAGATAGTGATGAATGGAAAGGAGATGGTACTTCAAGGTCATATGTGAAGGAGAGCATACAGAGACTTAAGTTAGATGATAAAGGACAGAGTGGAAAGAACAAACGTGCTGCGCCAGGTAGAGTTCGATTCCAGAACCCTGGTACAGACTATAGCAAGAAACCAGAACTATGTCTACTAAAACTTGACTCATTTGTTTCTAGTCCTCGTACTGTCACCAAGAAGGTTGGAAACATTTTACGGGCCAAGGAAAATAAAAGGTATTCTTGAAAGTCATTTGTAAGGAGTTTGGTTACACAAAAAGATTTCAATATTTCAATAATGGAAATAATTTATCATGCCTTGACTAAAGTTATAAAATGCAAATTTTTCTGTTTCTGAAAGCTTTTTATTTTATTTTGAGTAAAACTATATAGATTGTTTAAGAAACAGCCATGAAAAAGCAAGTTGTGTAACTTTGGAATTCCTTCAATTGAAAATTAGCCTCTATTAACTGTTTTAAATGGTGTTATTCACTTGTGTGTCTTTTGTACAATCTGTAAGATAGCAGGTGGTAGACACTGCTGGTGAACTTTAAGTTCCAGAGGTTTGTCAAAGCCTGCATGCCAAGTTTTAATTCATTTGAAAAGTGGCATGGTTCAGAATATGCACATGTACTTGATGCTGTTCTCAAATTGTGTGATGAATGAAAATTAGGAAATTTATCTAATTATGGGGCTGCTGCATCTCCCTGACAAAAGTTTGACTTTTCTTATATTGCTTTAGGTTTTCCTCAGTCACCCCCTAGGCTTCAAAATTTAGGCCCTTAGCATCACTGATAAGTCCTAGAAGGATGAAATAGCTGTATGATGCAGTTTAATTCATTGTTTGGCTTGACTGCATCTAACTCTAAATCATTAAAGGGTGCTATTCACTTGTATGTCTTTTGTATAATCTTCCATGAACAAAAAGATGGGAATTCTATTTTAACAGTATCAGCTTCTGCTTTACATCTGATGTTTACTTGTTAGTTTTCAAACACAGACTAGAATAGATAAGTCATGATGATGTTTATTTGGATGTTTTTGTCAGACAGGGATCAATCTGGGATGAGATGTAGGGATAATTACCCATGTTTTTGCTGAAAATCTCATTGAAATTTTCAGGATCTACTATATCATATTGGAAAATCACATCCATTTTCTCCAAAAATCAGAAATTCCTCCATACGTTAATGATCCAAGATTATTCCTGTAAAATTAGGAGATTTATATGTGTACATTATAATCCATGTGCTTGCACATACATGGGCCTGAAACTGATGGACCACTAAAGACAAGGCTAGGTTAGAGTGACATCAGGCTTACTGGTGAAATGACAGATTGCTTCTTCATGCACTTAGGTTGATCCATACCATATGAATTCTGTAACTGGAACAAAAGCACCACATACATTTCATTTGTTATAATCAGGTCTGGTGAAATAGATGTATAATCAACAAACAATCTTCTCAGCCTGATTGTGCTCCTTCCTCTATCCCTTCTCCCTCTTCTATCCCTCCCTCTCCCTTCCCCCTTTAAGAATATAAAACTTTTTTAAAAATTGGTTTTATACAAAAGTGGCTTAATCTTTTACGGTAAATGAATGTTCTAGGGCATTTTAGCTTGAATTAACAGCTGAGATTACTAGAGCAATGTGGTAATGAATGGTTCATTTTGATAGTGTTACTTGATGGAAATGTTTCATGTCTTACACTGCTTCTGGAAAGTTCACTTAATTTTACTGATAAGTAATTACAGCTGTAGGGTATTATCAAACAATTGCATGCCTGCTGATGTCTAGATTACAAGTTTAAACTTGATCCTGTGTCACAATTTTTCTTACTTATGTTTCTAAATGCTTTTGACCTCATCACTTGTTTACTTACAGATATTATTTGTCCTTTGACTGTAATGCCTGCCAGTGTTGTTCATAGTTGACCACTGTGTTTACCTCTGACCTCAAGTTACTGACATTGCTGTTTGACTCCTGACCTCTCTAACCAAGGGTATTGATAATACTTCCTCAGCTATTACGGAGGAATTGCCAGTGCTCTTGAATTCTGATCTCTATTACTAAGATTATTACAAGTTCTGTTTGAACCCTGACCTCTATTACTAAGATTTAATTGCCAACAATTATTGAACTATTACCTCTATGATTTATCTTATTGCCACTTCTTCTGAACCTTTGATCATTATAACTTTTAAAGGCTATAACTGTTGCTGTTTGACCCCTATCCTCTACTGATTATATTTCTTTCAGTTTGACTCCTGACCTCTACTGCATATTTTGCCAGTACTGTTTGACCCCTTATCTGCTGAGTGTGTCTCTAGTGTCATTTGATCCCCCCAACCTTTACTGACAATATTGTCAATGTAATTATCTCCTTGTCATTATAGAGTGATTTGACTGTGATGTTTGACCCCTGACCTTTACTGAATATATTGCAAGTGCAGTGGTGGCCCCTGACCTCTTGGGGGGTGCATTGACAGTGCTGTTTGACCCGTGACCTCTTCTGAGCTGCTGCCAATGTTTGACAGGTTCTTCTGGCTGTTACCCATTACTCAGTATGATAGAGGAGACAGCCAATGTTGGTATGGCAGCGATTTTTATTGCGTGCCATCCCTTAGGTATACATGTATGTATGCTTTGCTTCCATCATACAGCATATTTGGATTAGTTTTTGTCCAATAAAGAATTCTGGTCTGTCAAGAAACGGCCAATTGTAGTGGTTAAGGACAATTTATTGTCAGAACCATAGTACTACTGACAATGTGGTGAGTTATATGGCTCACGGCTGTAACTGCATGATCTGTCTACATCACAAAGCAGTCTTTGGGGTAGCTTACATAGTAGTTCTTCAGGTCCGTTCTGATTGAGTTAAATGTACTTTTTGACTAACAACACCACACTGAAAGCCCTGTGGGTTCAGTAAATAAAAAATATTCTAAAGCTTACAAAGAAATGACTGAAACAAAAATTTTACTTGATTCTGAATGCCAGTATGTTCAAAAGAGTTTATAAAATTTTACTTGATTCTGAATGCCAGTATGTTCAAAAGACTTTTTTTTATGCAATGCCTCATCGTAAAGTTTATTGAATTGACTTTTCTGTTTAGTTTGATTAGCTATGGATACAACATGGACTCGTGTCTTTTGTGTTAGTACAAACATCTCTCTCAGACATTATTGAAGTGTTTAAATTTCACAGTCAGGTTTTGAATTAGCTTTTATCTGTTGAGAATTTAAGAACTTTAAAGTGTTGGAAAAGGGAGGAACAAAGTTCAATTGTAAACTTAGCATTAATATTTAAAGTATAATTCATCAATTGTTTGGCACAATGTAAGTGCATCAACTGATAACACATGTACTTAAAAAAACAGAAAGCACTTCAGGTTTATACAATGTTTATAAAGCCAAGTGTTTGAATATGTGATAATCCTTCCCTGTGTGGATTATCCTGTGGTCCACTTCAGTTTATGCCACCCTAAATATGTGAGGTGGTCTCCGTGATAAATTACAGGGCAGTGTGGTTACCTTTATGTTAAAACAATATGAGTGTACCCTGGTTTGGAGACTGTCAATAATAGTTTGAGATCCAAAAGTATTTACTTGTCATTGGCAATTGGAGCAATAGTTTGGTAGGCAAAGGTGCAACTGTCAGATATTAAATGTTCATTTAGAGGGGGCCTTTCCAATAAAAAATTAGTCTTTTCAAAAGCAAAAAGCAAAGAAAGAAAATCTTTGATGTGAGCGAGTGAGACTAATTTATTTGATCATGTTGATATTTAGATATTCTTTGCATGTGATATGATGAATCATGTGCTGTTGCCAGAGTATGTAACCAACGGGAAGTGGCACTGACTGGTGCCATAGTATGAACCCAAAGGGAAGTGGCACTGACTGGTGCCATAGTATGTAACCAAAGGGAAGTGGCACAGACTGGTGCCATAGTATGTACTCAAAGGGAAGTGGCACTGACTGGTGCCATAGTATGAACCCAAAGGGAAGTGGCATTGACTGGTGCCATAGTATGTTACCAAAGGGAACTGGCACTGACTGGTGCCCCAGTGCCTACCCAAAGGGAAGTGGCACTGACTGGTGCCATAGTATGTACCAAAAGGGAAGTGGCACTGACTGGTGCCATAGTATGTAAACAAAGGGAAGTGGCACTGACTGGTGCCATAGCATGTAACCAAAGGGAAGTGGCACTGACTGGTGCCACAGTATGTAAACAAAGGAAAGTAGCACTGACTGGTGCCATAGCATGTAAACAAAGGGAAGTGGCACAGACTGGTGCCACAGTATGTACCCAAAGGGATGTGGCACTGACTGGTGCCAGATAATGTAAATAAAGGGACATAGCATTGACTGGTGCCATTTCTATATTGGTCTGATGTATATTTAGCCATGGACAGTGTATGTTGTTGTGCCCAGTGATATAACACTCTTGTATTTTGATGGAAATATTTCATTAAAATCATACTAAAAGTGAAAAGCCAGATTTGAATAGCTCTTTCAGAAATCAGTAGCCTGTCAGGAAAATCAGACTTGAATCTGTTGATAGAACTTATGATGATAACATGTTAAGGACATTACAAACTTCAGACAGGAACCTGAATCCTATACTGTTAGTGGCTGTTTTATTGAACTTTTTTTCATTGTAAAAAATAAATAATTACCGGATACAAATTAAAACAAAAACAAACAAAAAAGAAGAAGAAAGAAATACAATTTCAGTTTCATGGAAGCAAAAGCTTGCTATCCTTGCAATATTGGTGAAGCAGGATCTCTGATTGCCTGACTCCGCACCCCAGTCATCACATATCAACCTCCATGATGGGACTCACTGGGACAGTGATCGAACTAAGGATTGAAGATTAGAAAAAAGGCATTTGCCAACTTATTGTGCTCAAGAGTGTAGTTGAACAGATACATGTAAACTGAAGTGATACCGTAGGTAGACATTCAAGGACTTTGGAGGGGATGAGTATTGATCTCTAGTTTCATCCTGGCACACCTTCGTCTCCGACTTTAGCTTTATCTATGATGATGTAAACTAATTACACATGTTGAGAAACAGTGGATAATGATCTCTACTATAAAACCAACAGTAATAATTTCCAATTAAGCATTGTCATGGTTACACTTTTCTTCTTTTCAAAGTTATAATTTCTTTTTTAAACATGTAATTGACCTTTAAACAAGATGTGTTTGGTTTTCTTCTACAATACAAGTGT